AAACAATGATATTTTTATCCGGAATTCTTCTTAATAATTTATAATGGATTTTTGTCGTTGTCGATTTTTTTTTCTCGCCTTATTATTTAATGTAGGAGAGAATATTGGGGTTCAAAATGATGGAACGACTGTTATTATTATTATTTTAATAATAGCATTATAATGTTTTTTCTCGTTCCAAACTCATTTAAATACTCGCTCAATACATCCATATAAGATAATCGGAATAATTAATTCCAAAGCAAGTATTCATGCCAAGCTTATTCTTATCCGGCTTGATCCGATTTACTTTGCTTCTCCGGCTGGTCAGCATTTGTGCCTTTTCTTTTTTTAAAACATTTCAATTCTTTAACTTTAATCTGAAGTTACTGAATAATATTTTCACTTTTGAAGTTACCCATTTAAATATTTTAGTTGCTCAATCAATACTGTTACGTGATCAGATAAAAATAAAAGTAATGACAAGCATAGTAGTGCTCGTCCTATTTTATTTAATTTGGTAACATGGTGAAATACAAGATCACGATTAGTTCTGAAAATGACGAACTTTTATATAGGATTGAAGAAATTCCCACTTTCAAATAATAATCGAAAATCACAACTAAATATCTTTTTAAATGAAGATATCCAAAATATGAAATAACTAAAGATTATCTTTGTAATTGTTTTTGTATAACAAAATTTTATAACAATCGGAAAAGAATTAAATTTCTATCGAGCAACCAACTAGTCATAAAATGCAACTCATAATCAATATCATGGGCAAAGAATGATGAATTAATTGATGAATTTAAATTTAAATCCAATATTTACTTCTTAGATTGAATATTCAATTTGAATTTTACAATGGTTTATAATGGGTTGGGCTTCTATTCAAATAAGGTTTATTTGAATTATTCACTTTATTCGTTATAAATTTGAGTATTCGAATTACATTGAAAGTTTATTCGAATAAGGCGAACAAATTAATTCGGATAAACAAATAATTAAGGTCCAGTTTAAATCCAAGCCCACCGAAAAGATTGCTATTTATTAAAAGAAACATGAATCTTGATTCATTCTTTCCTTATTATTTTCATTTTTAATTTCAATTCTTATAATAATAAAATCAATATTAAACCTTGTTGTATATATAGTTTGAATATTTAAGTAATGAACAACCCATGATTCCAAATAATCTAATAAAATGAATGAACAAACCCAAGATTCCAATAATGAATGAACAAATAAAACAAATAACATGAATAAAAACGAATAATTCAAATAAAAAAAACAAATAATCCAAATAAAACAAATAATTCGAATAAAGCGAATTAAATTTTTAATTCAAATAAAACGAATTAAATTTTTTAATTAATTAAAGATCAACTGTATTACGAATAATTCGAAAAAGAATTTTGGATTGTTAATAGAAGCCCTATAATGGGTAAGTATAAAGTTCCGAACGGTTCGATACCAAATCCAGGCATCCTAAATTTGTCAACTGTGCAGAAATATATATATAATAACTTTACAATAACTTGTAGCTTAGTTTTGGCACGAAGTATAAATGTTGGAAGGATCCTATTTCTAAATACGGGTCTGGGACACTTTACCGACACCCACTTTACCGACAAGACACTTTACTGACAGGACACCTTACCGACAGGACACTTTACCGACAATCAAAGTAAAGTCAAACTTGACGTAGAAATGGTCTTGCGAGAAACACCACGACCCCCACAGAGACCACAAGATCGTAATCGTGAAATACGGATTCAAACAGTATTAAACGACCGTAACATTAGATCAACTATAAAGTTTCTTCGGGGCATTGCCCATAATATTTCATTTTAAATTTTTTTTTTGTTATAATAATTAATGTGTCAAAATAAAAGTTTTTTGTAAATGATTGATAAATAAATTTAATAAAAAAATAAATTTTTATCAGTTTCATCAGATAAAAAAAAATATATTACACATGTATCTATATTGTATTTTTATGGACTTGCTTTTGATGCAAAGTAAGGATAATAAGTGGTGTTATTAGTTATGACGTACGGCTAAGTTTTTCACTGCACAACAAACCAAATTTTTAGCTAGTTATCCAGGTCTTCACACAGTCCTTGGCAAATTGTTAACACAATACTTGTCGGTAAAGTGTCTTGTCGGTAGTGTCCTGTCGGTAAAGTGTCTTGTCGGTAAAGTGGTGTCGATAAAGTGTCCTGTCGGTAAAGTGGGTGTCGGTAAAGTGTCCGGGTCCGCTAAAACATACAGTTGAACCTCGCTATAACTAAGGCTCCGAATCGAATCGAATCGAATCGAATCGAATTTGAGAGTGATTCGGTCGATTCGATTCGATCTGTAGCCAATTCTATTCGATTCGTGACTCGATTCGAATTGATTCGAACCAAACCGGATTCCTAAAAAATTTTTAACGTCATATTAAATTTATATTTTTAATTTGATAATTTAAATTTATATTACACAGTGAATCTCAATTAATGTGCCTCCATTTAATGAATACTAATGGATTGAGGTCTAAGAATGGTTTAATGATAAATAAAATTCTTCTTGATATGATATTTATTCGAATTTTTAATAACGGATTAATGGTCGTGTGACCTATATTATTAATAATGAGTAAAAAAGTAACGATTTACAGTTGTACAATCCATTAAATAATAAGTACTAATATTACTGATGCTTCTTCAACTTCTTCAATTTCTTCAACAAGAGATGCAATTATTGCTCCAGGTAAAATTTTTTTTTGAATTTTACAATATTTATACTATATAAATAAATATAAATAAAAAATATTTTGTAAATAAAATTATAAAATATACATTAAAATAAAGATTTTTCATTTATTATATATAGTATATTTGATTCAAATCATGGATTCAAATCAGTTATTATTATAGATTCGAATCAAATCAAATCAGTTCAAATCAAATTATATATTCGAATCAGTTCGAATTGTATCAAATTATATATTCGAATCTGTTCGAATCGAATCGAATCAATCCGAATTCGAATCCGTTAGAATCAAATTATATATTCGAATCGGTTTGAATTTCATTGATTCGTTCGGTGCCTTGGCTATAACCTAACAGCTAACAGCTAATTAAGCACGTACTATAACGAACTTTTAACATTTTTGCTAAAAACCGTTATAACGAGGTTTGACTATGGTCTATAATACCATGATAGCGAAGGTCCGTGGATTACCAAAATTATAATGGAAACCACGATCGATTTTATCCATTTCATACATAGTAATAGTATATAACATGTTTAGATACGGCTGGTTAGTTATTTTATTTACATATTCATAAATGCAGTGTTGTGCAATCGGGAACAATGAAAGTTTATAAATGGCACAACACTGCACAAATACAAACATTTATTCATCGCCTTCACCAACATGCAAACTTATTGTTCCAGGTTCTAAACTACAACACCTTTGAGTAATTAAGTCTGTGCTTCCAGAAAAATCTTGTTCAACCGGGATATTAGCTGCTATAATAAGTTTATTAGATTAGAAATCAAATAAATTTAAATTTGAATGAGTGCAAAATTAGACTGCTAAGTAGTCTCTAAACTAAAGCTCCGAAACCGATCCAAAAATTTTGGTTTGGATCGAGCTTTAGTTAGGTATTAAAATTTGTTATATAGTAAACCCTCTATAAGTGCACTATATGCCTCATTCCCAAGTTTGGAACTCGGAAATAAATCCATTCCATTCCCACTGCACGATCCCATTCATTAATATCTGTGACTTTCATGCGACAACCGTAATTCCCGCCCGTTATATGATTATTATTTATTATTATTGGCATATTTGTATTAGAAGCCTTGATCTTCAATTATAAAATGTTCATGGGGTTCGGTACGATTCCCGAACAATTCAATAATGACATGACATGGTATTAGAAAACATCCTGTCGGAAAATGTCCTATCGGGGAAACGGTTGTCGGGGGAATGGGAGCAACCACCCGTTGATGGTAGGCAGTGCTGTTCCGAACACTAGAGCAGTGGAATTATCCAGTAATTGATCGAAATTGTATTTGTTTTGATTGTATAATGGATATATTCATATAATAAATAATAAATATACTTACATACAAACTATCTATTCGATTTGATCAGGCTTGTCTTAATATCAATTGTAAAAAGTTCATGAGTTAAGTGAAGCCATCATTTAACCAAAAGGCGCTTTTTATTTTGAATGTTTTCACGTGTCTGAAATTACAAGTTTATTCTGTCTATTTAAACTAATATATTTTGAGATCAGAACTGATTGCGAAAAGATCTTGGCGGATTCTGAAATTGGAGGTTTTATTCTATTTATATTCCTATGGTTAATGATTAGCGTTCCGAAAAAAACGAACCGAAAAACCAAAATTAAACCAAAAATGAGAAATGATATCGAGATTCCACTCGGAACAATGAAAACATTAAATTTAATTGATCGATTGATATGTCCAAAGCACCGGTCAAACCGAAACTGAACCGTTAGGAACTTTAGCTATGATTTAAAGTTCCAAGAAAGAGCAATAGTAATGAAATTCCTTTTTAAGCACTCGTTTTATTTTTTGGGTTTTTCAAATTCTTCGCTGATTCTCAAGTGATGGACGTGTAAAATGTAAATAATAAAAATAGTCACGACATAATTTTTTGTGTCAAAGTACAAGATTTTTTTACAATGATGGGGGATAAATGAAGAACCAATTACAATTATTCTCCTTTCTTTTTTTGGGTTTAGCAATTTGATCTTCCATATTATTTAATTTAACGTACATAACAAATTTAAAAATATAACTTTGATCACCATATTTTCATTATTTTCTCAAGGTCGTTCGTTAGTTATTATACAAAAAATAAAATTTATAAAATTTATAAAAACATAAAAATTCGCTTTCCTTTAAATAATTTATAAAAATTTACTTTCCTTTAATAATCTATTAAATTTATTTTTTTGATATAAAAGAATTAATTAGGATCAGAAAATCGATAAATGAATTTATACTCAAACTATCATGTTGCCATTAGCCCAAATGGCAAAGAAGTCGCGATTTTTAACACAAGTAATATTTATTGTTTTTCATTTTAGATTTATCTATTATATGTTTTAAATAATAATCGACTTTATTTTTTTCAACGTATAAAAAAGGTACGTTTGAATTATTTGTTAGTGAAGCTAATAATTTATTAGAACCAAGGCAAATCAAAACAGATTCATTAAAAAATATCGATAATACAAAGAAATTAATCTGGTCGTTAGCAATATCAAATCCAATAGTTAATGACAAAGATGATGATTTTGAGAATGAAATTTTAGTGGCATTATCATGTTTTCATGAACATGAAATTATGTTAAATACTCAAGAGCTTTCTTCCAATAACAACAGCAATAACAATAAAAACATTGACCTTAATGTTAGTAACAGTTTCTCACCAATATCTTCTACTAATTCAATGTCTCCATTAAAAGAAAATCAAGATGGTAATACTTTTGATGAAGAGAAGGGTATCAATAGAATAGTCAGTTCTTCAAAATCATCAACTTGGATTATTTCTACTTGGCATGAAGCAAGAATTTCTACTTCAATTGATAATATTGGAGGTATATTAAAATTTTTAGATGAAGACAATAATAATAGTCATAATTATAAAATGTCTGATAAAAAGAAAAAGAAGAACCTCGGTGGTAATAGTAGTAGTGGTAGTAGTGATAATGGGAATAATAAAATGATAAATGTGATGATAATTAATGCATGTGGGATTTTTAAAACTTGTCTTAGTTTAGACAATTTATCAATAAATAAATCAACAAATTTTTGGTGGCCAGAATATTTAACTTTACTTTTCAATCATTCTGACTCATACCAAGAATTTGATTTCCCATCAAAAATTCAGGCAGAAATAAAAAAACTTTACCAAAACACTTCATGTCTAGAACTATTGACACGCAATATAGAAAATGACTTTCTTCTGGTGGAAGATTATAAAGATCGTGTACAAGTATTGGAAATGTATAATCTGAAGACTAATGAATTGGAAATGGTTTTTCATCAGAAAGAAGAATACAATTCTTTCGATTTAAATAACAATTATTTTAGTTATGGAAATCCTTCGATTGCGATCTCAAAATATAAATCATTGTTGGCTTATTGTCGAGGGATCAATAGTATAACAATATACCTGATGGAAAATAGTTTAGACATTGTCACAAAAAATTTTTTGAATATAGAAAGAATTCTAACAATTGATTTTATTAACGAGGATGAATCTTTATTAATCATTGCAATAGAAAAAGATAATCTAGATCCTATTATTATCATATGGGATTTATTTAATTATATGAATGATTCAATACGTATCATTAAAGATTTTAATAAAATATTCTCTATTAATGACAATGACAATCATTACAAGTTGATTCGTTCATGTGGCACAATATTATTATTTAATGAAAATACTGGTATGATAAACTCAATCTTGGAAAATCCCACAATAAAATCAATCATTTCTCCTTCAACATCTTCTTCATTCACTATACCTACACAATATAATTTATCATCTTCATCATTAATTAATTTATCATCAATAGTTAATCAATTTGAATATAATCATTTAATATTTTATCAGAATGGAAAATATTATAACGCCGAGAAATTAAAAGATGAATTAATAGTAAACAATAAAGAACCTTGGATTCATAATAATAATTATAATAGAATTTCTGCTTTCCTTAACAAAGAAAAATCTTTACAGCTAATAATTGGTGAATCTACAATCCAAATTTGGTATAGAAACAAAACAACAAATAAGAGTAAACTGAAATATATTTGGTCAAGTAAAAACAAAAGTAAAAAAAAATTTTTTATAGAAAATTTTTTACTAGGTGAAAAAGAATTCAAACTCTCATTAACAATTACACCTACCATTGCCACTGCTACCACTTATCATCATAATCAAAATTATTCTTCGCTGGCTTTGAGGAAAAAAATTAATGATGATATTGTAGACATTCATTGGCCTTACAATAATGTCAATCTAATTAAAGATGCTTGTGAATCTTTGGGTTATTTGTATCATCTGAAAGACGACCCAGCTGGTCCAAAAAAACAACAAGAATATGAAGATTTGATTTTACAAATTGAGAAAATTATAATCAAATTCATTGAAAAATATCCGATTAATTGGAGATTGATTAATATCAGATACAATCTGATGAAATATCTGATCAAAAGTAAACGATTGAATGTCATTAAATTTATATTAAGTTATAATTGTAATAATATTAAATATTTACATATACCAAGATTACACAAATGGCCACTTAGGCCAATTAATAACACTGATTTAGAAATTGCAATCAAATCAATTGGCGAAAATAATAAGAAGACCACTGATGTCATCATAATTAATTATTTTTTGGATTATTATACTGATAATGCAATGGATAATACTGGATGGATGTTTACTGTCAGCAAAGCAATTCCATTATTATTTGAATACAGATTAGATACATACGTGAAAGATTTATTTTGTAAACCATGTTTTGGTGCAAAAGATATCCATCTTGATGAGTCTTCATTAAATCCTGATGATATACCAAAAGGTAAATCAAAATATATCAGAGCTTTTAGTCCAAACCTGGAACTGCCATGTAAAAACAACTCCTCGATTTATGGTTTATCATTATTTCGTCCAATAAAAAATATAATTAGTTTATCAACAAGGTAAATAGTATAAAAAAATATATTTAAATTATATTATAAATAGATATACCTAATATTTACATCTGATGTTTATATATATCAAGCATAACACACAATAATCAATTAGCCAATTTACAAAAAGTTATACCAGGATTTTATCGTACCAATTCATCATCATTGATCTCTCTAAAACTAGTTCCACTACCAGATTTCACAGTTTTTCCTAAAGAAACAAAACTACAAATAATAAACTACCGAAAATTACCATTAAAACTATTGAAATTATTGATCTGGCCGCGTGGTTATGTCATCAAAAAAGAATCAAACTTGTCACCATTTTTACGAGCAGTTAAACATGATAAACATGGTTTAATCTATGACAATCCATCAATCGAAGCAGTAATTGATTTCAAATGGTCATCTGCACGTAATCATTTCTTGAGACATACAGCACTATATTTTATTTTTGCTTTGTTGTTTGGATTGTTAACTGGGGCTGTTAAAAATGACAGTTTGATATATAATGGCAATGCGAATATAGGCGAAAAAATTATTACATTTTCAATGTCATCTTTGTTTTACTATTTAGGGTATTATATATTAGCATCAGAAATTATACAACTGTTTCATGAGGGATTCCGTCGATATATCAGTGTTTATAATTTCTTTGATCTGGCTTCGGTTGTTATGCCTTTAGTTACATATACTTGTATTAAATTAATAAAATCAAATGAGCAGAGTTTAACTCAACGATTAACAATTGCTATAGCATTCACTGTTTTAGTTATGTGGATTGAATTGGTAAATATAAGCTTCTGATAATAATAATGACAATACTTACTTGATATATCTTTATTAATTATATTTTTTAAATTTTGATAAAAAGTTTTTACTTTTAAGATTCTTTTCAGGTAAATGACATTAAAAATTTTTCAAATAATAAAACTTCAAAATTATTTACAGAAATTTTTTTTTTTAATATTTTAAATAATAAATTAATGATAATAGGGCCTGGAAATTATATTTATATAGTTGTAAATATAATGAAAAATGTCTGGCCATTTATTTCATTCATGTTAATTGTGGTATTAGGATTTGGACATGCAATGTAAAAAGAATTTTTTGATATCATTAATCATTAACCATTACATTACTTATGCCTAACACAGTGGAATTTATTTATTTAGGTACATTCTACTAAAATCACCTCAAGAAATTGGTGTAGAACCTGATGGTAATCAATACCATATAAAAAGCACAGATCCAAATGTTAACTCACTTTATAACAATGTATTGATTGAACAATCATTTAATCTGAGTAATACAAATGACAATTCTTTCTCAAATTTTGCTCAATCGACTAAGGCTGTATATTTTTGGATAAATGGTAGATGGGATCAACTTGAACAATGGGATTTTTGGCCGGTTGATGTTTTGTCTATATTGGCTAGTGTTTTGTTGGTTATTGTTATGCAAAATATGTTAATCGCCTTTATGACGTAAGTTATTAAAATATTTTAAATTGTTTCAAAAAAAAATTTTTTAAAATCATTTAAATATACATACATGCATATCTTTGATTTAGTGGAGTTTTTGATGACGCAAAAGCAGAGAGTAGACATGCTGTATTGAAATATCGAGCAGAATTAATTGCAGATTATGAAACATTGGAAAATCCGTTCGGGTATACAGAGAAGAATCCACGACATATATTTTATATTGGTAATGCCAATAAATTTGCTGAATGGTTAAGGAAATGTGAAGAGTATCGACGATTAAGAAATGATACTACTGCTACCACAAATTATTCATTGTCAGCTAAAGAAAGAGTTTATCTATATGATGGTGACAATGATGATTGTGGAGGTGATGATGTTGTTGAATTTATGGAACAAAAAATTAATAATAATAAAAAAGCTGATGAAGATAATAAATATTTGAGCAATCGACAAAGCAATAATTATAATGGTGACAGTGTTAATAGAAGGGGTTATGGAAAAGATGTATTATTTAGATCAGCTACAATAGACAATTCTAGTTATTTAACACCAAATCATTATCAGCATCAATATCAAAATGAAATTTCTAATAGATCATCACCACCATCACCACCACATGAAAACAATAACGCATTGACAAATGTCAATTTTCTTGAAGAAATTGGACACTTAAAAAATGAAATGAAAAATATTAAAGGAGATATAAATAACAGAATGAATTTAATTGAAGAAAAAATTTCTAGTGTATTGGAATTAATGACAAAGATTAATACTAACAATAATTGTTCCAATTAATGATGCACAAGTCATTCCCTGTACTTTTATCTGACATATTTTTATATTTTCCGTAATAACTTTAATGTTATCATCATTGACAGAATTATTAATCGTTTTGAGGGGAATTATTTCGGAGCCAATGTTGACTTTTGCCATCACTGGGTTGAAAGTTAAAAATTTTATTTTATAAAAAATAAAAATAAATAAAAAAGGCAAATGATGCACAAGTCATTCCCTGTACTTTTATCTGACATATTTTTATATTTTCCGTAATAACTTTAATGTTATCATCATTGACAGAATTATTAATCGTTTTGAGGGGAATTATTTCGGAGCCAATGTTGACTTTTGCCATCACTGGGTTGAAAGTTAAAAATTTTATTTTATAAAAAATAAAAATAAATAAAAAAGGCAAATTAATATTATTAAATTATTACTGTTACTATTACTGTTACAGTTAGATTTCCCAAATATGGCTTTCTGAATTGATTGGCCTATCTATAAAAAGCTTTCTAGTGATCAATGAATTTAATATCCTTGTTGTATGTGAAATTGAAATTATGTGAAATTGAAATATTATGGAGTTAATTTGAATTTCACATATGTGAATTGCGAATTCACATAATTTCATTTTCACATACAACAATCCTCATATTATTATTTGGTACAATTAGTAAAATTCAAAATTATGGATTAGCAACAATTTTTCATTTATTAAGTGTTTAGTCTTTTATAATTTAATAATTGTGATTGCAATACGGATAAAATTTACTGGGAAAAATCCGCTATTGGTTAACCAGGAGATGGTTGCAAAGGCATTGGAAAGAAATGTCACAAAAGAATTTACAAGATTTTCAGGCTATTTGAACAATGAATATACAGTATATATATATTAAGTAGGATAATTGATAAATTGATTAATCATATTACAATAGCAAAATTATTTTTACTATAAACAACAATACCAAGTCATTTTAGAATCCTTATGATAATTATTTACATGTTTACTGCCCAGAAATTAGTAATAAATGGTTTTCAAATATAAATAGGTTTGAATGGGCATCTAGAAGCCATAACAATATTTCTCGTAATTCGATTTCCTTCCTGTATTGATTTACAACAATCCTCCGTATTTCTTTTGTCTCTTTGATGGTTTTATCCAACGCAGATTTGGGCATAAGTCAAGAATTCTGTAGATAGTAAGTAATTCACCAACCTTGTGACTTTGATATCCAAAAGTTTCTATGCCTGTGGATGATTTTCGTAAAATGTAAGATATTAGCGTCGATTAAGGTTTTTAATCATATGAAATGCTTATGTCAATATACTCCTTTTTTTGTAGCCACATAAAGAGAAGAAATACGATCCCTAATACAGAGTTAATCATAAAATAATCCTACATCGGTGGACAAGTTTGTACAATTTTGGGCCATTTTCTTGACAAGCATTACTTTAGAGAGCCAGCGAGTACCCAGGATTGCCCATACCATAGGAATATTCTCAGAATGCTTGAAGGTAGATTTAACACGCAGATTGATAAAATGGAGCGGTCAAGAGATCCTATTGCTAATATACGGGGATGGTGCCTGCTGATACGTGCTTCCCGATCCAGAAGCTCATCAATATACTTGGAAGTAACAGTTATATGATATACAGTGTGTTAAGAAAAAAATTGGGCTGTCAATTTTTATACTCGAGACCATCTTCAACATCAATGTCAACCTCAACCTTAACATTAACAAAATTTACCATTAAAAATACAAAAGCAGATCGTCAATATTTGAAATATGGTTCTGTAGAATGTACATTTTGCAAAGTTAAGTTACAGGCATTAGTACGTCATTTTCAAAATAAACGTAAAAATATTCTCAACAATAATAATATTAAACAATATTCGATTTCCAATGATTCAAAATTAAAAATAAATTAAATCCTTTGAGGATAAATATTTTGTTGATTTACGTTATAAGTTACCTTGATGCCAAATAATTGGATTGTATCAATTTTAAGAAGCGAAAAATTATCATTAAGAAAATGATTAGTTATTTTTCACACAAGATATCCCTTACAACAGATACCTGGTCTTCCACAACTACAAATCAGGGATATCTTGGTGTTACGGCATATTGGGTTGATGATGATGAAAATATTACTTGATCTTGTACCTCTTCATGAAAACCACACTGGAATCATTTTGGCAAATAAAATTTTAGGTAAGTTTAGCAGATTGTTTAAATAATGCATTAATTCAAAGAATACAGCAATAGGGATTTTATACAGATGTATATGAATCTCAATATATAAAATTAATAGGTCAACAACCAATTGAAAAATTACGTAAGTTGGCGTCTGTCTGTGCCTGTCACTTTTAATGTCTCAGAAAAAATATAAATTTTGCTTGTTAAAAAAATTATGATAAAAATTTAAGAATTCTTTCATTCCCGTTGTTATATCATCATATTTCGTTTGTACAGTCAAACCCTCGTTTCGAAGAACTTCGTTTCAGCGAACTGTAATTAAATTCACGTTTCAACGAATTTTGAATGATCCTTTCTTATGTGTCCAACCACTCGTTGAAACGAGGTTTTGACTGTATTTGATAAAATAAACAATAAAAGATTAAAAAAGGTTCGCAAAGATTTTACATAGTGAAGGCAATACAATTAAACCTCGCACAAATTGAATCTAATCACATTTCGATGAATTCTATATGTTTTTATATAATGCAAGATTCGTTGAAATGAGGTTTGACTGTACTTATCAAATATTAAAATATTATGTATATGTAAATTATCGTAGAAACGGTTGTCATGTTCAATATTTTCATTATGTGAAATCTTTGTGAAAATTTTTTTTTACTTATTTAGAATGGTGGGAGTTGCTTCCCTTCTTTAAAAAAAAAATATCAGATTATACTTTTGTCCAATGCCCGTGGAAAACACTGACCGGGAATAAAGCACTTCTGAAGATGCTATTCTGCTGCTGCTGTTGCGCCCACTTTCTATCTTTGCCAATTCTATTTCTAGTGATTCTTCGGCTGTTACAACGTTGTTATTTGTAATAATAATAATAATAGCCAAAAGAGACACCACCATTAGAAATGAATTATGAAACAAGTCTTGCCGTAATCTTTTCTGAATTGTTGGAACCGCCATCACTGCCATTTGGATTGATTATTAAAAGCAAGCATCCAATCTTCTTCTTAAATCCTTCAAATAATCTCGAGGTAAGAGTCAATATCATCTAATAATCCTATTCCATTTTCATAAAGAACATGCTCAACTATCATTCTTTTATCATGATTATCAAGATATTTCCTAAATGTTCTAGCAAAACCAGAATGTTGTAATGATTTTGCTACATAGCGCTTCATCATCGATGAAATAATATTGGAGAATGAAGATTCATTTGTAACTTGTATATGATATTGTTGAAGAGATGGTGGATGAGAATTTCTTTAAATTGAAGGGGCTCGGACTGGAACAATCATCAATCAGTTCCAAAGAAATTATTTCATGGAACCAATAAAACCAAATATTCAGTCAAGAAAGTTGGTAATTCACCAGAAAACAAGTATTCATGGAAATTCAAATTGGACCATCACAAGAATTTTTCCAATACAAAACTGAACAATATAACGGGCAATTGATTGAGAATGAACAGTTGCCACCAAAGCCAAAGACTCAAATTTTCACCAGCTGATAAGATATGTCAACAACCACAGAAACCAGTTGCTGAATTAGCTGCAGCATTAGCAGGAAAAAAAGAAAAGGGGGAAAAAATAGAGAAGAAGTACAAAAAGGAAAAGTATTAATTGATAAGATGATGGCAGTTTCATCATCATCATCACTCATCTCATAAAAGGAAAAAAGCTCAGAATTGATGAAGTCGTAGAAGTCGTAGTGGCATCATCATCATTCACCATTACCACCAATAATAAATAATACTTCCAACTCTCCTGCAATATATGGATGTAATGACAATATAGAAATAATACACTTTTTCGAAAGAAGAGTGTAAATTTCAGACAATTATTCTTTTTTTTTTTTTTTTTTAAAAAAAAGGAAAACCAATATATATTCACAATAAACACAATTATTAATAAGCAAATATATGTATTTTAATTACAAAAAAATTTAATGAAATATATTACAAAAAAATTTAAAAATTAAAAAAAATTTTTTTTTAAAAAACTGTTCTTCAAAAAATCAAACTATATTATTATTATTAATTATTATTATTATTATTAATTATTAATTATTAACTATTTTTTATCATATAACAATGATAATAAATCTTTCTGTACAATGTATATATATATATATATCAATAATATATTTATATATTATTAGTATTATTATAATATATATATACATATATAAATAGTTCAATTTTAAAATTTAGTAAAATCTACTTCGTTAATATCTTCCATTTTTACCACAACATCAGCATGAAGTGTACCATGGATTACTTTCCTAACCGGATCCTCGGGCATATATTCTAATTCTCCGTCAGCACTTTGTAGAACAAATTGTTTACCTGGTGGAGGTGGTTTCTTAATTGCAAAGGCTAAAAGTGAAGAAAAAGTTGTTTTATCAGTGATTGCTATGTTCTGTTTGTATGTTCTATTTGGTGATCTAATAGTTACTGATTTCAATTGTATTAACGTTGGCGAGTGCGTTGAGCTATCTAATAACATTGGTTGATTGTTTGATTAATGGATTAGTTGATTAATGGATTTATTAACATTTATTAATATCATTGTTAAAAAAAATTTTTCAACCTGAATTATAATCAAGACCTGGAATTTGTTGTAATCTTGGCGGGCTTTTTCTTGGAGTAAGTGGTGCTAAATAATTAAAATTTTGAAATATTATTACTTTATCATATATTATATACAGATAGACAGATAAATGGATAGATAGATTACTATTTATAGCAGGTTGTCTAGTGTATACAATTAATTGGACTTCCGATTTTCTCTTTGAAAATTCATCCCAAAACGATTTATAAGATATTTCATTTTTTAAATCATGATGTAGAGAATCTTTCCAAGTACCTATACGATAATACAGAGTAGTAGTGTCTATTGTTCCCCATTTCTTTGGCAGTTTTAGATTAGAAATGTTGTTGGTTAATTGTTGAATGACAAGATTTGGATCATCGTTTTGATCAATATTTGCAATAGATACACGTAGACTACGTTCAATTTTAGCGATTGGATCATGAGTCACATCGAAACACACTAATGGAATTGTTGGTAAATCTTTTATGTGGAAAGAGGAAGGAAAAAAAGAATTGGGAAAGATAAGAAGATTGATCGATTATGATTTTCAAAAGAAAGAAAATCATAAACATATATGTATGTATGTATGTATGTATATATATATATATATATATAAGTACCTCTAATAAATCGATTGCTTCATAGTCCAGGTTTGGAATACGTGATTTTAATGATTTTGCTACCCAGTTAGGGAAATTTACTTTATAATTTTGCAAGTTCGAAACTCCAGGCCATGTATTTTCATTTGGTGTACCAAGTAAACTTGTTTTGTGTGGCGTGGGAAAAAACCATTTTAGTCAATTTATAATATATAATAAAAATCTATATAAATAAAATACCTAAATATTTTAAAAAGTTGGTCTATTCCACTGCCACCTAGAAAATTATTTTCTTATAATTAGCAAATTTTTTCTTTTCTATCACCATCATCATTACCAAAATATATATACCTCTGAATAAAGCATCATTCAAAAACATTTCAGCAAATATACAGGCTACACTCCAAATATCTACACCAGTTGAATATTGTTGACATCCGAGAAGTATTTCAGGTGCTCTGTACCATAAAGTTACAACCTACAATAATAATAATAATTACAATAATTAGGATTTATTATTCGTGAATCAGACAATTGATTGATATATATAGATAATCAAATGTTACCTCATGAGTATGAGCTTTTATTGGAAGACTACATACTCTTGCTGATCCAAAATCAGCTAATTTTAAATTCCCATTAGAATCAATCAACAAGTTATGCGGTTTCAAGTCTTGATGGAGAATTCGATGCGAATGACAAAAACAAACGCCATTCATTAATTGCCACAAAAATTTCTTTAATAATAATTGAGAGTGAGAGTGTTTAATTGATTAATTGATTAATTGATAGGATTTCTAAATTAGTTGAATTGATTAATTGATTACTTTGACAATTATTTCCGATAAACCGTTATTATTTTTTATATATTTCTTTAAGTCAGTTTCAAGATATTCAAATACTAAATATATATTATTTTCAGATTGAACTGTATCCAATAATCTATCAATTATATAATTAATAACTAATAACAATAACTTAAAGATTTTAACAAATCAAATTAATCAACAACATCATCCACTAAACATAAAAATTCCTCCCCAAAAAAAAGAACACCTTACTTTACAATGTTCTTGTTATTAATTCTTTTTAATATTGATATTTCTCTAACAGCTGTATAGGGTATGGCGGTCCTGTTTTTTTATCTCTACCTCTATATACCACACCAAATGTTCCTTTTTTATTTATTTTATTATTATAAAAAATAATAATAATAGTAAGGAATTAATTATTCATTGTTTGTGGATTTTATATTTGTTAAAAAAAATACTAACCTTCTCCAACTTCTTCAATCTTTATATATCTATCACCCATATTATAATGGTGTATGTATATATATATATATATATATGTATCTATACATACTGTTCATAAAACGCTTCGTTTTTTATCTGTGATTTTCCCCAACTAGTAGTTTCTCTCTCAATATTTTTCACTGTATTTCTCTCCCAATCTTTGTTATAGTTTCTATTATCTTGAATTTTCCCTCTATCCCACTCTCTTTTATTATTTCTATCTCTTTCGTTGTCAGTATCAATATCGCTATTATTTTTTTATCTCTTTCTATTTCTTTCGATATCTTTTTCTCTTTCCATATATCTTTCTCTCTCTCTTCCTCCAGTTCGCGCTCTCTCTGTATATCTTTCTTTTTCCCTTTCTCTTTCCCTTTCTCTTTCTATGTCTCTTTCTTCAATTCTGTCTTTTTCTCTTACTCTTTCCTTTTCTCTCTCTCTCTCTATGTCTCTTTCTTTGTCTCTTTCAGATTCCCAGAAAGAAGAAGCTTTATATCTTGACATTGTTGAATTAAGTTTAAATTATTTTTGTACTACACTATATTTGAGAAATGCATTAGTATGTTTGTTTTGATTGGCTCTAAAGTTCGTATCACCATTCTTATTATTATTGCCAAGAAGAATTTGTATTACGAATAAAAACTACTCTACTCTTATAAGCAAGATCCGAAATATTTGTTTAATATAAAATTTTAATTAAACGGTTTATTGATTATTCTTTCACTTTGGTCAAAAGTGATGTTAATCTTT